ATATAATTTTAAATAAGAAATAAAGTAATATAATTTGACTGGCAAACCCCCATTCATTCCAGCAAAATAGTGGTATCTGCAGATGATACATTCCAGCAAAGCATCTTTTTATACACATGAGCTGACAGGGAAAATTTGTCAGTGGTTTAGTCACCACTCAGCTGAATCACCAATCTCTTTTAAAAAATAGCTTGATTGCAGCGAGGGGGTTCATGTCTCCTACAGTAAATTAGATTAAATGCAATACAACAGGTACTCTGCAGAGGTATATTTTGGGATGGAAAACAAATCTGTTTCTCCTTGTGGGTGTTGGCTAATATTTTTTGTTGCTCAGGTAGTATCTTTGATAGACTGGAGTGCCAATTGCTGCTGTGCAGAAATGTGAAATAATGTCATCTCCAAATGTGCCATCTTCAGGGACACTGCTTCTGGAAATGATCACAAAACCAGTGAGGCTTCTCCTCCCAGGCTTAAGTGAACTGTATAAAACAAGTTCCTGTTCACAAAAAGCATAATCTCCACAAGAGAATAATAGCTGCATTTAGGATGTCTGCCTTAGGGAAGGAACTACTTAAGATGGTGACCTAGTCCCCAGATTAAGCTTACCTAGGCTCCCCAAAACAGCAGTTGGAACGCTAGGCTCTTGAGCAGAGAGAAATTCCTGTAGGACACAAATACATTTTGCAATTCCGCTTTGTAAGAATTTCAGCCAGGATCCATTTCCTTTTTTCCAAAAGATTCACTGAGATATTTTTACAAATGTATGTAGTGGTACCTGGTATTTTGATTCCTCACAGTCTGTACATTTAATGTCTATCAAGAAATATGTTAAGAAAGAGGGAAGAGGAAAACAGATGAACCGGTCTGGGCTACTTGGTGACCTATCCAAGCTTTAATCTCAATGTCAAAAGGCAGTGTTCTGAAAGTCAGAGCTGAGTAAATTCCAGCAGGTTCAGTATGTTCTTCAGGATTATCAGAATTTGCGAATTATTGTCTTCTCACTGATGTGAATGTGAAAAAAGTTGTCAGGAGTTTTTCATATCTCTGGGACTTCTACAAAGTTTCTTCCCTGGTTTCTCTGGTATCTACAAAACTGTAATGAAAATGGAAGGTTTTTCCCTTCAGGTGGGACATTTCTTGGATCTCTGTGCTTTGTTGGTCCACTGTTTCTGTAATAGACGGACAAATTTTATTTCTGTTCAATTCTAAAGATGCTTTTTTTATATATATACATCTTCATTTTCTACTGTAAGGTGCAGCCCTCAAAATATCATGAGCTGGCTTTGTGGCATCACAGGCTTGCATTGCTGACTTTGCAGTGACAGTACTTGTAAGATTTCCAGGTTGGTTTTATGTCATCAGAGAACTGATTGCTGAGAAAATTTGTCAAACATTTGAGTCTTCATTGAGAGCAACTTCCAGCCTTTTTGAAGGCTTTCCTACAATTTGCTTTATAGCATCTACAGCTTGGATGAAACACCCAAGATGTTCTGGGAATTTGAGTTCATTCATCTTGCAAAAGCCACTGAAACAAATTTATACTTCTACGTAAGTGTTATCAATACATATATTCTTTAGGTTCTGGAATAAACCCAATATGACTATGCACTTTCCATATAAGAAGGGGATGTCCTTTAAATTAGAGCAAGGATACCAACAAGCCGCAAAAATACTGCCCATATTTAAACAAGCTCTTTCCGTACTGAAGGTTTTTGTACAGGAGTCTGTGCTGAAAATAATGAAGAGGCTGCAGCAAAGAAAAGCAGGGGTGGAGAGATCATAGATAACTGTAAACTAATCCTGTCTTTATTTTTCTTGGGTTTAGTCTGGGTCTATCCCAAGGTACCCATTATAAACTGATAGGGCAGATGAACAAGCATGCTGTTGGGGCACCTATATTGGCAGTACCAGTGAGAATGCTGTGGAGAGAGGCTGGGTTGCAATACATGGGCAGTAACATTGCTGTGTTTCCTGAACAGCACATTCAGAGTCTGAATAGTTTCAGACAGTTCCATTGTGGGAACAGTGCACACCTTTTTTTTTTTTTTCTTTTTTTTTTTTTTTTATTCAGCTCGTTCTATTAGCACTTGCCAAATTTTGTACATTGTTCATTTCAAATATTTGCATCCCATCCTAATGACTCTCTTACAGCTACCATAATACATAATGGGTGTGTATCATTGCCAGCTATTCCATTGAAATTACAAATATCTTGAGCATTATTTGAAATGTATCATCATCACGTGCCATAACTTATGAGCTTTGGATGCATGGTGTAGCAACAGTGGGATTATTGGCAGAATATGATGTGGAATGATCATGAATATTCATGCAGAGGCTGCATTTCCTGTGTTTATGAATTGTTTTCAATCTGGAGGACTCCATCAGTTGCTCAGATTCCTCAGGGATGGGAACTACACAGAGAAATCCCATGACAATTAATTATTCATTCATTTTGCATAAGAAAACAATAATCTTCAGACTTCATTTGAATCAGTGTTTAAAATGGAAATCTGAGAAAGCCTTTCCTGCTGCTGGAAGTGAATAGCAAATTAAAAGCTTCCTGGAAGACTGCACACAATTTGCACATGTTCTGAGTAGTGTGGTGTAGAGGGGTTTGTACCAGCACTGAGGGACAGCCACCACTGCAGAATTACTGACTCACTGCTCTCTGCAACTGTTGTCCAAATGTGGCCTCAGTAGAAATGTCACAAGTAAAATTAAAATGGCTTTGAGAAGGTCTGAATAGACTAACGTTGACCTTCTGAGAGTGTGAAAAGGAATGGTGCTGCTGTTGCCAAGCCCATGCAGGAAGGAAGCTGTAGTGCTTGTCCATATGACTAAAGTGAAGCAGGAGTCTCCTCCATTGCCCAGTCCAGGGTCAGCCCTACCAAGGCTGCTCTCGAGGGGTCTGACCAGAGTGTGTTTCAAGGGCGAGCACAGCTATACCAGTACAGCAGTCCTGGACTTCAGTGAGTTTTTAGGTTTTACTTCTCTTTCGACCCATAGTGTCCACAAGAATCTGGTAGCTGATGGTCTTGTAAGTGGCCATAAAATACTGCAAATACCCAGCACTGCTCAGAATGTCTTTCAGAAGATGCAAATGTGGAGAGCACTGACATTTGTAGGTGGAATTGGTAGTGGTCTCTGGAGCAAAATAATGTTTAATTCATAGCACTTTTTTCCTACGCAAAAAGTTATGAAAATAGCAATAAAATTAACAATCCATGAGAGCAAGAAGTCAGGCAAGAAAGACAAGAGACCAGCATGGCTGAGTAGGGAATTGCTGGTCAAACTAAAGGGAAAGAAGCAAATGCACAGGACGTGGAAACAAGGACAGATGACCTGGGAAGAGTATAGAGATGAAGTTCAGTTCTGTAGGGATGGGGTGAGGAAGGCCAAGGCAAAGCTGAATCTGAACTTGGCAAGAGACGCAAAGAGTAGCAGGAAGGGCTTCTACAGGTGTGTTAACCAGAAAAGGAAGATCAAAGAAGGTGTACCCCCCTGATAAACAGTACTGGTAAAGTGCTAACAATGGATGAGAAGAAGGCTGAGACACTCAACAGCTTTTTTGCCTCTATCTTCAATAGTAACCTCTCTTCCCACACTATAAGTGGATGGACAGCAGGACTGGGGGAGCAAAGTCCCTCCCACTGTAAGTAAAGGTCAGGTTCATGACCACCTGAGGAACCTGTACATAAGTCTATAGGACCCGATGAGATGCATCCCAGAGTCCTGAGGGAATTGACTGATGTAGTTGCCAAGCCACTCTCCATGACAGTCAGGTAAAGTCCTAGGTGACTAGAAAAAGGGAAGCATTGTGTGGGTTCTGATGTAGCAAACCATGTGAAGAGACAATGGTAGGACCGGGATGACCCAGGGGAGCTCTTTGAAGTGTCCAGTGTGGGGACTGTGGTGGTCCTTTCCCTTAGCAATGACACCCAGGAAAAAGGCAGTAAAAGTTCTGGAAGCACTGGGGATTTTATCCTGTTTCCTGAGTTCTCATGATGCTTCACTTCAGGAACCCCCCTCCCTTTCCGGCAGGTCCTGAGATGCTGGGAACAGTCCCTCCCTGGCTCAGCTCAGTTGCTGGGAGGGGGGTCCCCCACGCTCTGAACGATGTGATGGTATGAAAAAGTTCTCCAAAAACTTTCCCATTTAACTAAAACTAAAACAGACAGACAAGATTTAATAGGTAGAAGAGTTCTCAGTCTTCTCAGGAAGAGACTCCTTTTATCTCTCCCTCCAAGGTGATCAGTGTTATCAGCTGGTTTGAGAGCCCATTTGTACCAGAGCAGTGCAAAAGGAACAAAGCATGACTGAGAGATACATGCAGTACAGCGCTTTTCAGAGCTTATTTTTAGACTGGAAATAATGTTGGTTTTAATCTTCCTTGACAGCTGTTTTCAAAGGCACACAGAATGGACATTCCTATTTTACCTGTCAATTCAACCTTGTTTACAAAATCAAAGAAACATTTAAATGTACCAAGATTGTAGATTGTACCTTTCTTTCCAGTCCTTTTTTTGTCTCAGCTAAAAAAATTCTGGTAACTAACTGATTTTAACAGAATATGACATTTTCTTTGCTGTGCACAGGGGCAGTGGGTTTTTGGGATAGAGCAGATTTCCTGTGATTCACTGGATCTGTGTAGTGGGCCCCTGCAGAAGACCTGGTAAATAGGATATACTGATTTCTAGCCAAATCTAGGCAGAGAATTACCACAGACCTTGGTTGTAAAGACCTGTGTATTAGCATGAGTAACTGACAAATAACCTGAGCCCATCCCATGACTCTCCTTAGCTTGTTCCAGCAGAGACGTGTAGGAGTGTACCACTCAATGCCCACTTGGTGACTGCTGGACCAACTCAACTGATAAGCTGTAACAGAGATGCCTCAGTGTGGGCCCCATGCAGTACATGTGGACAGCACCATCTATGTATCTTGTCTTATCTTGAGATGGAGCAGAATGCCTACATGAGTATTTCTTTACCTGGCAGCAGAAATCATCAATAGAATTGTTTACGAAAATCCTAAAAAAGCTGTACAGACCACACCAACAATGAACCTGGCCGCTGTTGGGATGTGTGCACTGTGCCATGATCCATGAAGGGGCTCATCCAGGACTGTGATAGGGTTACCAGCATCAGCAGGGAGGTGAGATTGCTATTACCTCTTCTAGTGCATCTATTAGCATCAGAACTGCTGTCGCAGTATCTATTATTGATATCACCTCTTACAGTACTTCTATTATTTATACAATAAGCTAGTTATGCATTTCTTCTTCAGATCCCAAAGGAACCTCCTTGGTGCAAAACAAGATGCTGGGAGATCCTTCTATTTTCAGCATCGCTTTGGTTTTGTGAAAATCCACTGATTTTCTGAACTTCTAGAGATTACTAATGAATGCTTTGTCAGCTTCCTTCACTGGCTGAGAATGATTGTTCTCATGGTTTCTATGTTGAGCTGACTTATCTTTGCATCCTTCCCTTCAGTGTTTTGGGAATGCATCCATATCCATATTTTCCTACACAGAAAAGCCAGACATTTTACAACTCCATGAGGTAAGTATGATGGTATTGTTAGCAGTAGCAAAACTTTTAGTCCCTGGGTGGCGAGACAAAAAGGGTTGAGGGGGGCAAAGAGCAAGGTGCACACACTCCAAAACCTGGACTATCTGTTTCTTCTGCTTAAATTTGACTGACATGGGGACCACTTTTGGCTAAGGTGCATGACCCATAGGTCCAACAGATGACCAAGAACCAGCTACAAATGGCCAAGGCATTAGGAACCACAGTCGTCTCCCTGATCCTGGCCTTTATCCATGTTCCAGCAGCTGTATGGGGTGAGCAAAGACATGGCTGGGGAGGGTCTATGTGAGATGAGGGTGTGTTCACCCAGGAGAGATTCCTCCCACCAGGATATACCATCAGGTTAGGGCTGCTCTTAGTTGTTTGACCAGGTCAAACTAGCTGGAAAACGGCCTGGTTTGAATGTACAGCAGTAGCAAAATAGGTAGTGGAAGACAGGGAGAGAGGACACTCCTTGGAGAATCAGGGCAGGTTTGGTTGTTGTAGCCCCTAATTAATGAAGCTAACAATACTGTAAATGGCAGAGGGAAAAAGAGGCTCAGGCAGAGCAGCAGCAAAACAGGGGACAAACTTATTTTAAACCTTTTCCTGCTATCTCAGTAAATGGCTTTGATCATTTCACAGAAACCAATGGGGGAAAGAAATTACCTCAGAGAGGCAGAAAATCCATTTTATTCTCCTTTTTCCTCTTTTCTAATGTGCTTTCCAATACAGATATGGCAAAGGTACAAAACAAGAGCAGAAAAAAATAAAGACAGTAATTTCAAGAAAAAGGTAATGCACTAAATGCTACCTGCTGTCTACCCCATTTCAGATAAAAAGTAGTGAGCCTCACTGCATGCTCTAATCTCAAGAATTCAAGTTTTATGGTGAAATCTGTGCTTTCACTGAAATTTCAGGAAAAGTGTAAGGAAAGGCAGAAAGAGAGAAGAGAACCAGGCAGGGACTAATCAAGGCCTAGTTTGTTTCAAAATCTGTTCTATCCAAATATCACAGAGAAGTGCCTTAACAGAAGAGATGTTTTGTCAAAAGAAAGGCAATGTAAGATCATAAAATGAAACATGAAAAAGTCTTAATAGAAGACTAATAGAAACATACATATCCTCAAATTTGTTAGAGAAACAATGCAAAGAGCCTCAGATGAGACACTTAAAAAAAAATATACCTAGTAATCTTGAAAGAATGATAACTGCAGTTATGTCAGTTCAAGACAGCTAAGTTGAAGCTTTTCTATCCGTTCTTTCTCCCACACTGCCCCAGGGTTATGATTGATCACCAGCTGCCATTGATACAACAACTGGTCAGAGACTTTGTCAGCAGTGATGTATTTGAAACTTCAGTTCACAAAGGACGGGTGAGGCCCATACCACCAAAGAAGCACCTCCCGAGCTCTGAGTTTAGACCCCCCCCTGCAAATCACATGAATCAGAAACAGCAGCGTGGAGTTTTAAAGAGGAATAGGCATGGTGGAGGCAACCACAGGAGTCACACAGCTCAGGGCTGTGTCAAGTCAAGACACAGTTTATCGGGAGCTTCCCCAGGCAGCCTGGGAGCTCATGAGTAATCTGGAACGTGTCTATCTCTAAGGGCTCTGGATGACTTTTTCTTACATTGCAGTTTAATTACAAAGTCTTTTGTATATCTTTACCTTTAGTCTTTCAGCCATCCCAGATTCAAACAATTAGACACTATTTTTAGGCTCTTCCAACCTTACTGTTGTGGAGTACTCCTGAGACAGTGACATGCTTTAGCATTTAGCATTTTAGGGCTCTTCTGTGCTTAAGGTCCCAATCTGTTAGAGGTTTAAGTAGAAACAAGTAGTAGTTTTCTATCGTATCACATTTAATGGACAATGCTAAATATGCCGCACTGCTTAGATGTCTCTGAAAACCAAAAAGGAGTAGACCTTCTAATCTGTGAAATCACTGTAATGGCCAGGTTGTAGGATGGGATCACTCAACCACTAGATTTGTTTTTTCTTGTGTATGTGTATAGATACATCTGAAGAAGAGGGGAATATATAAATGGCTCACAATTTTTATACAGCTAGGTTGCAATTTCATGAAACTTTGCTCAGCTAATAGGCACTAGCACCAAGGCCTAATACAAAGTCCACTTGAGGCCATTAGAAGGAAACTCGTTGGACAACTCTTCGTCATGCTTGGCTTTGTTGTGGCTAAAGATCACTCTTGAACATACTGCTTTAAAGAGTGACCCCCATCCATGTATTTATCTCTGCTGCAGTGGTTGGACTTGGGCCAGAAAGTTTCAGGTAGGGGGGCTTTCTGACATATTTTATTGTGCTTTGAAACAAAGATCTGAGAGATCTATTGTATTTCTTTAGTAAGTCAGTGTTTCTTCTTTTACTAAGCTAATTATATGTGATTGAGCTAGGCATGGCTATATTAAATATCACAAGATGAAATTTACTTCAAATACTGTATGGACACAAATATGAAATCCAAAAATCACAAGGGTAGATTTTCAGTAAGAGTTTTGCTTGCCTTTTTGCTAGTGAATGCCCTCTGTAGTCCCTCTCAATGGTGATAACTGGTTACATTCATTTATACGTGTCAAAAGCAAAAACATGAGGAGCCTTTTTAGTCAGCTGTACAAAAGCACCTGCTGCTGGTCTTGATTTGATAATTGAGGGGAAAAAAACAAACCAAATCAAACCAACCAGATTACTAGATCTGCATAGGAAGCCAAAGAAGTTTTCTTGAACAAAGAAAGTTCATTGTAACAAAATGATGGGACATCATACTAGCAACAGAGGTCTAGAATGTGCATGAACCTGTATGAGGTCACCATGGTCAGCAGCTACATGCTGATTTATATTGCCTCAAGACCTAGTTCCTTGCTGATAGTGAAAAAATATCTCATTTCGACACCTCTTTTCTCTAACCAAACCAGAGGCATAACTGTGACCACTTGAATAACATATCACCCAACAAATCTTCATATTCCCATCTTATTCCCCTCACTCATCAGACACTTAGCCTGCTAAGCCTGTCTCATTCCCTCATCCCCAACTCATACAGTCCAGCACCTCATGGGATCCTGCAGCCCTGCACTGTCTTGCTTCAATCTTTACTTGATCTGTTCCTTATGCTTCTCCCTGTAGGACTCCTGCAGCAGCATTGCCACAGCTCAGGGAAAGGATGTGGCTTCATCATGAGGATTGCAACACAAAATGTTTGTCTCTTTTTTGTTGACCCCTCCTGAACCTCCTATCTCAGGTAAAAGGAGTTAAGTTTAATTGTTTTTCTGTGATTTCAATAGGTAAATTCAACTAGCGCTAGGCTTATGGATTTGGGCTGGCATATTTGCTACAGCAGAACTCACCAATATCTCTGATGTTACAAGAATATAACAAAAACACTGAGAACTGAGGTGGAGGTGGAGCAGCATTTATCTCTAAAAAAAAAAGTTTTCAAGGTAGTGAGTTGCTCTGTTCCAAATAACCTGTGCTCTTTGGGTGAAACCAATATAATAATATTCTCGTATGACTTCAAAGCCTTCCTGATTTTGGGACCCCAAAGCAGCACAGGCATTTTTTATGTCAAATACCCACTAAAGCAACTGTGAAACTCAATACCACTTTGATATACAGCTGCTCTTGCCTTAGGGCTTAAGGCAGGATAGCTTTACTATAAAGGTGCCAGATCCAGAATCACAACTAACATCTTGCACTTCCACACCAGTGGTCCCTCGAGGCTTGAGGAAGAAACTGGGCTGTGAATAACAAGGTATCTGAACAGTTGGTGACTCACTAAAAGTCCATGGTCTGAGATATTGAAAGTCTGCCAACAATTTTATCATAGTTGGCAGTGAGAGGAAAGATAAGAACAAAACCACAAAGTGTTGTTGATTTTTAAAGGTCATCACACTTATAGTTCAAAGTCACTGTGGAAAGAAACTTCTGGTTTTTCACAGAGATTTCACTGAGAAAGAGATAACTAAAAAAATGTGGATTACCTGCTCTTAATATAAAATACCTATAAATTAGTGTTCTGAATACAGGTAAACCTAGTCTATCAGTGGTCCAAATTTAACTACATATTCTTCTTTGTGTTTCCAATGTTGAATTATCTTGAACTTCTAAACATTTCTCATCAAAGGAATGCCAAATTTATGGAAATATTTGCTTGTGCATTGTATTGTCTCTCATCCCAAAGGTGGTGTAAGGTGAGTTTGTGCAATGGGATTACCAGGAAGCAACCAATGAATCACATGTGCTTGTAGTTCATCATCTGTATTGAGGAAGGTGGAAGAGCTCCAGGAGTTAACAGTTGTGTCTGAAAATTGTGCTTTCTTTTTATTGTAGTCTTACTTATCTTTACCAAATTGACAAAATTGCATTCAACTGGTAAAAAAATACATTAATGCATCTAATATCCCTGTGGGTTTCATTTTACACAAAACAAACTTAACAAAAAAAAATCCTAATCAAATTATCCTCAATGTGAGTTATAGTATGTTCACAGTGCTGTAACACACAATAAAAATGGAAGATTCCAAACCACTTAAAAAAAAGTTAAAGACCATGGGAGATCTGTAGGTCCCTGAGATAGAGATGGTTAGATGGAATAATTTATCCTGCCATGTCTGACTGCATCTGTCTCATTTGTTATTTCTCTGCTTCCTACTTTATATGGCTCACAGATGTTACCCTCACTGCATTTTTGTGAACTTGTTAACAGAATACTAAGATCTTTTTCCCTTTCTATGTCCTATTCTGTTAAATGGCTCAGTCAAGAACATTTATTAATCAAGCATAATTTCTTCCTTTTCCTCTGCAAATTCAGACATTGATTATTGTGTAAGACACTGTCTCTTTGAAGTATATTGCACAATAATGGAAATATGTTCAATTGTAGGTAGACACCCCAGATGATCTATTAGATATCTCTATACTGTTCTATTCCTAGCTTGATTTTTTTTTCAGACTTAAAGTAGGATCATTAACAAAATCTTTTAAAATATGGGCAAAAATAAGAATAGATACTGAGTATAAACTGATGTAAACTGCTGTTTGTCCCATACTGAGAAATTCTTTGCCTTCTGTAGAAAGTTTTGCGATTTCTTTGTTTGGCACAGGAGAATTAAACTTAAAACTCAATCCTCCCTCACTGTCATTGCATCGTGCAGGATATCTGCTCATTGCAGTTGTGGAGCTGCTTTCTGTAGAGGTGAAAAAAAGCCATTGTTTGTCTTCATACTTCCATGCACTGAATAAATCCCTGGCACTGAGGATGAGATACAGAAAAGTAATGTGCAAACTTGCATTGTGCAGGTGAGAGTCAGTCTCTAGTACAGTCACTGGGTTTTTCTTTATATTTCTTTGAGACCTTTGTTATTTCCTTAGCTCTTCACTGCTTGCATAAATAGCATTTTATCAGCAGAATACTGATGAAGAGCCCTTATAGGGTTATCCTGACTTAATTTAGCAAAAAAAAAATAAATGGATGTATCTTTTGTTAAGGAGAAACTCAGCCTTTCCTGAAATACATTTTTCTATAAGCCTCTAATTTATGGCAAATCTAATTCAAAGTTACCAGAATATTGCATTCTTACTGGATCTCGTAGTGTGTAGACTTTTTCTCCTTTAATGTTAAAGTTTTTAGAATTACTTTTTTTTTCTTGGAAACTTGTGATGCTAAAATTCAAAATAGGGGACTGTTTAGCCAGATGGATACTGGAACAGCAGCATTGCTTATTAAAATAAGCAGCACAGACTTACTGCTTTGCTTTGCCTTTTGCTGTCTTTTTTTATCCTCACGAACTTTTAACGCCATGCTGAAGATGAAAAGCAGAACTCTTGGGAAAAGAAAAGTATTTTTCTGATTTTTGTCTTTCAAAGAAATGGGACTTTTTAGAAAAATGTGCAGTAGTTGAATGTACTGTAAAATTTCTTAGAAAACTGTATTTATGTGGCTCCCAAAGAAAACTCCTTGTCCTGCATCACTTCCTCATGACTAAGCAACAGTATGCCATAGAAAACACACGTCAAAGGATTTGGTCCTACCCTGGTTTTCTGAAGGAAAAGATTTATGCCACAGTGCTTCATATGCACGTGTCCTGCCCATCCTTAGTAACTTTGCAGCCTCCGGTGACTCAGTGACATCTGACAGAGCAGTGGAATACTCAGAGAGTTTAATTCCGGCAAAGTTCCTGAAGATCCGCATGGGAGAGACCTGTTTTGAGGGAGAGAACTTCAGACTAAAGTTGGAGAATTTGGGCAGAGAGTGGTCAGGCACTCTGATGCATGTCTCCTCCTTTTTACCTCCTCCTCTGCCTCTCTGCTCCTCAACTTGTAGATCTTCTTGTGTCTAAAGAGTGGTAATATGTATAATATGTTCATACTTCAGCCTTGACATAACACAATTGAAATCTTTGTCCACCACAAGATGCAGAGTAATTGAAACCCAAGGCTTATGGTATCTGACCAGAGACATGGAGTTTTCAGAATGTCTCAGCCAATTTAAAGTGTTTGGTTCTTCACTAAATAAACCCTTTATTTTATATGTATTAAGTCAAAAGGAAGAAAAAGAGGAAAGAGAACAAACCAAATGTTTCAGGGAAGTTCAGCTGAAAAGACTAATTTGTAGATGGTAGTAATCATATTCCTTTGAAAAATCTCTTAATGACATCAGGCAATCCAACTCCTGTAGTTTTTGCAACATCCTATGATAAAAAATTTGCCTTGCCTCATTGTTTTTTGGTTGGTTGGTTGGTTGGTTTTGTCTTGGTCTTTGTGTGTTTATGGAATTTTCCTCCTTAGTCCTCCTTAGATTTAGGATTAAAACTCAATGCTCACACTAGGGTCAGAAGTTCACTGAATTAATCTGTTGTTGCTTGGATCCCTGAAGTGGGTTCTACTTTATTGTGGAATGCTTAGGAATTACTGAAACTTCAGTGGAGACTGTTAATGAGAAGCTGGAAGTCCACTAACTAATTAATATGTTGCAATCTCTTTCACTTGGTTTTAGTTCTATACCATGGCCTGGGGGGACATATCTCTTAGGTTTCTGGCAGCAGCCTCATTATTCACAGAAATGGGCAATAACTTCTTCAAATAAAACCTTTTCATTGATCTTAAAAGAGAAATTTTAACTTTGAGCTCTTTATTTAGTTTCATAGCTATCTTTTTTTGTCATTTTTGTTATACTGGGACCCTGAGGTCTAGTCAAAAAGGTCACATCACTTTGGGCTATGCGTCATTAGGACTTGCAGGTCAAATGCACTTGGGTCAGGAACTGCGCAGCTGTGAAACTCTGAAACAACAGCAGATATTGAAGTTTAAATGGATGCCGTTTCTCCCTGGCAGTCACTTCAGAGTGAAATCACACAATGCTATTTTGGTTCTGGAGGGACAGCTTTCAGATACCTTTCACAAAAAGAACACAATTCCAATCTATAACCTACAGTCAGTAGAGGTCAGAGCCACAGACACTTTTAGATGTCCAGTTTCCACCCAGAACTTCCTCTTGAAATCAAGAAGAAAATGGACACTCAAATAAGATGTGGTGGTTAGTTTCATTGAGGTGATGGAAAGGTTCAAAATTAGTTTTTGGTGTCTGATCTACAAAAATCACCAAAACTACCAGCTGGGATTTTCTGGCCATGGGGATGGCTATGGGGATGTTATCTCTGGAGACCAGCCCCAACTCCAAGAGCTACTTTCTGTCTCACTGAAATGTAGTTTTGGGAACACAAGGATTCACTTTGTATTTTGTGAAACTATCATAATTTTTTAATAAATATAAATTAGTCACTGTAATATGAATTTGGTGGGTTTTTTTTATTTTCAGGAAAACATTCTCCAGAGAATAAAATAATTGCTGCAAATTTGTGATTACTGTATGTAACAGTTTTGAGTCATGTTATGTAACATTCAGCTGAAAGATTTTGACAACATGCAATGATAAGTATGATATAAGAAGAATAGGATAGGATAGGATAGGATAGGATAGGATAGGATAGGATAGGAT